AACAAGCACAAGCAGAGCCGCCGCTCTTTCGAGCGGACACGGTAATCTATTCATTTAGAAAAAGGGAATTTAATTGCTACTTCTTGTGAAGTAGATTAATCATTCAAAAGTTTTAAACAACTTATAATAGCTAGGCAGGGGAATCTGTATTTCAGTGACATTTTCTCGTGAGGCAAACAATACAATTCATTTGATTATAAATGGAATTTATTGACTAGTCAGATTTAACAAACAAACAAACGCACAAACATACATTAAACACAGAACAAAAGGTAAACCACGTGGAGATATCGGGTCTATAGAACATGTAACAGCAAAGAGAAATGGTAAAGCTAGGAAGTATAGATTTCAGATAAAAGAGTGACAAACTTTCAGTTCCACACGCAGCATTACGGACCACCAAGGTTATAAAACACACCTTTTTGATAAAAGGGGCACAGCTTAATCGCATGACTAAAATCACCTGGTCTCTCATGTCTGGAGGTCTCTCTTATGCGTCTCTCTTCTGTTGTGATGAAAACTACTCTTGATGTCCTTTGATGCGTGGAGTTTGTAATGCAGTTCGGACAAACACGATCGCAAACTTTAAACTGAATTTACTTTGCCGGAAAATAAAGAAAGCGTGGTGGGAAAAAGTCCATGCGGCTATGAAGAGCCGTGTGGCCCTTAAAGGGACCACCGTCAATGATGTTCCTTTTTGGGACGTTCTCTTTCTGCCCAGATGTTTGGGGGGAAGTGTGCTTATACCTGCGGGTCACGTGACAACCCGTACAGCATTCTGACCAATGATTTCAGGGGAAATTTTGCGCGCGAACCTTCCTTTGTCTCTGGGCTGCGCGTATGCAAATTTGAGCGCCCGCCTAAAGCATGCGGACAGGCATTTAATACAGGGCTTTAAAGAATAAAGCAATGCGAGTTATGGTCTCGATCTATGCATCATGTGTTATAAAATGTCGAGGGCATTCTATTGACACCAAACATTCTACAAGTACACCAACATTAAAGGTACATTCACATAGTTCCCATATCCTTACATCATTGATGCTGTTAAAAAGGCCTGAAAGTACGAATGTGTATAGTCTATATCAGGGATTGTACACATTACAAAAGTTAAATGAAATTAAACAAGAGATTTGGGTTCTAAATGTCTTTGTTTAATTTTGAGGAATGTCTTGTCTGTGAGCAGAACGTTGGCTAAAGAGGTTTTTTTTTTTTTTCTTTCCTATCTTATTTGTCATGTTCTTTTGAAGTAGGCAGAGAGTGGTTCTGTGAAGTCTCCCAGACTTGTTAACATGTCACCACGCATTACTAAGCCAGACTTTTCGTCGCCAAGTGATTTTATTGTCCTGGCGATTCACCCAGATTGTTTTCTGGAATGTTAAATGGAATGTTTATCTCCAGAATGCAGGTTACAATATGTTACAGCTGTTACCATTTTGCATGTACTTGTTCCATGATTCCTGATCATTGTACTGTCATTTGCAATTACAGGGGGCAATGCCGAGTAGTGACAAAAACGGATGAAGAAGTCAGTGGAGTTGCACGGTTTAGTTGCAAAATAGATGAATAAAATTGTATATAAAATAACTTGGCCGACCCCCATTTCTACCATCTTGCCAACAAAATCTTGTTGTGACATAGCATCGTTTAATGGGATCTCGATAACTGTATCAGTCCATAGACAGATACACTTGGCTCTCTTAAGCGAGTCACTAGCTGCATCTTAAATGGCACACTATACAATATGCACTATGTACTTATGTACATACTCACTTAACAGCATAGTATATGTATGTAGTGTCATCCCAAATGACACCTGCATGGTGGAGAGTATCCTGTCTGGCTGTATCACCACCTGGTATGAAAACTGCACCAGCAGCAATCGCAAAGGCCAACGTAGGATTGTGCGAACTGCTGGATGCTTAGTAGCAGGGGAACTTCCCTCCATCCAGGACATTTAAACCAGGCGGTGCATGAGGAAAGCCAAGAGAATCATCAGCGACTTCAGCCACCCAAGCCATAGACTTTTTTTCTCTGCTACCCTCAGGCAAACGATTCCGCAGCATCCGGTCACGCACAAGCCGACTGAAGGAAAGCTTCCCTCAGACTATCAGGATGACGAACACTTAACACACCCCACACTGATGCTTCCATACCCCTCACTGCACACCATCAATATGTAGCATGCACTGCGCTTTAACCAATCCATACTTGAAACAATACTGCCTACAACTATGGGTACACCTATACATTGTACTTATCGCTGTCAATTTGACATTTTTCGTTATTTTTTTATTTTTTTTATTGTTTTTTTTTATTATGCTGTTGTATTTTGCTCTGTCGTTGTATTTGCACTGTATCTGCATTTTGTACTGTCTGAAGCCAGCACCTAAGCTTTTCACTCATCATAGCACTCATGCTGCTTATGATGTGACAATAAAAGGGATTTGATTTGATTTTAAAGCACTAATGTTTTTTTTTTTATTTAACAAAAATTCAAACCATTTCCCTGATGATGTTTGACGGTCGCCAAATCAGTGAAAAAATGACCAAACTATCAAATAATAACTTTTAGGAGTATAAGCGCATTAATCACTCGCTATAATCACTCTCACTCTCACTGGTGCTATAATCACTCTCATAGGAGAATTCTTTCACCACACAAAAAAAAGTTATCCAACATGTGAACCCGATAGCTCTGCCCCTAGCGATACTTAAGCAAACCTGCAGGCGTTGAGTGTGTGAAGTGTCCAACATTACACACTTCATTTTACTGCACTCTAAAAAGGAATGTGTTGAAAACAACACAACATGTGTTATTTTCAACACATGTCCTAAGTGTGCTCAGGGACAACACATGTTGAGTTAAATTTAACACACAAAATGTGTCATAAAATGTAACACATTAATGTGCAGCATAAGTTGACACACAGATGTGTTATTTTTGTTTGTGTTTAACACAACTGTGTGTTACTATTCATTTTTTGTAATTTTAAATGTAAAAAATATTATAAATGTAAAATCAATATACAAAATCTCACAGGAAACATTAAACACTGTTCACATACTGTTTAATTTTCCCAAATGCATTCAAATGTTTTACAGCAATTCATTGTACATAATATAAAAACTCACTTTATAAAAGTATTCATTAAATTGAACTCGTATCTGTTACGCATGCCAATAAAATGTCAAATATGTATGAAACATATCCATTTTCAAAATTATTCTCTAGTGAAAGAAATTAATAACCATAGCACACTGATTATACATTCACCCACATGTAAGGTGCTTGTCTTAACAAAATAAATCATTGTCAAATATAGTCAAAACACTTCAAACATTTAGGTAACCCTTTATAGTAACGACACAATATAAATTATTTATTAAGCATTAGCAAGTACAGTAGTTGATTCACTATTTGTTAAGCATTAAATCTACATTATAAGACATTAGTAATGGGTTTCTAAATACAGCTACAAAGGCTGTTTTCTTGACTTATAAGCACATTTATAATGTGCCTAACAATTGTACTTTTATAATTCATACTTTCAAATACAAATGGTTTGTAAATAATGCAGTCCTTAATTTAGTAGTGAAAAAATAATCAGAAGCAAAGTGTGAAGGTACAATTATTAAGCACATTAAACATTTACTTATAAGTCAAGAATACAGCATTTGTAAACCGCTAATGTCTTATAATGTAGAGTAAACGCTTTACAAATTAATGAATTCACCATTTGCTAATGCTTAATAAATGATTTATAGTGTGTAGTTATTATAAAGTGTTACCAAAGTTTCAATCACTAACATGTTTAAAACAATATTTTGTATTTAGGAGATACATACTGCTGATCACAAAATGACAAAATGTCTAGAGGTCTGTAATCTATTAAGTCCCCAGGCAGCAAAGCAAAGAGAAAACGATTTGTTCTGATGACACTGAAGAAAAAAATATGTTCATCAAAATACTTAACTCTTAAAACTCTCGTTCCCCGTGTGTCCTGACTCTTCAGAAGGGCATGAATTAATTTTAAAATGATCTGTTGAGATGTTTTAAAAAGGAATTTAAATTATGATATGTTCTAGGGCAACGATTTTGACTACAAATTAAAGTTAGGTTGTGACTATCAGAGAGTGCATGCATTTCCCTTAAATGCCAAATTACAAAATCATTTTAAAGACACTTTAGATAGGTGTACATGCTTATTTCAATTAGGTACAAGACTGCACCTTAGCAATTAATTCCATGACCTATATATATATATATATATATATATATATATATATATATATATATATATATATATATACTCAAAAAAAAAAAACAGAAGACAGTTGGCATGGATACTGAAGATTGCACAGCCAGAAGAATTTGAAAAGTCTGTCTACAGCACAGGTCAGGCTTTCAGGATCGAGTGGAAGAGCAAAAGAGTCATTCTTTGCCACAGCTAAAAGTACACGTACACGTACAAGGATCCATGTCCGAGACAACCAATAGAAACCAACTGCGGCTGAGCTGACTTCAGGGTCCCTTTCATGGATTCAGTGAGCAAAGATGTAACGGTGGTACCAGCCTTCAGGAATGAAACAATAAAAAGCATAAGAAAATGTTGCTGCATTAGAAACATTTTATTTATCATAAGCTAAACCAATAAAAACTATACCGGCACTTGCTCCAACAGGTAGGACACAGCAGAAGTCACACAGCATTTACTCCCAGCAACACTTCTCCCAGAGGCAGTGGGTGGAAGAAGATGAATAAGGATCTTTAACAGCTCATCTTGAAGTGAAGATACATGTCACATGCAAAATAAGAATTTAAACAAAATATATTAGAAATTAATATCTTTAATAGAATATTAATATTCACATTAAGTTTTATCTTTTAAACTATTTTTAGAAAAGTGTGCACATGCAACAGATATTTTGGCTGAAACTCATACCATCATGCTGATTGTCAGCCATCTTCAGTAAGAGTCTGATGTCAATAGTCTTCTCCAAGATGCTATTTCTTTGAGTTCTGGAATTATCGTCCCTTCCCTTTTCTGGATAAACAAGTCTTCGTTCCTATCTGTGAGCTTGGAAAATTCAATGTCCATCTTTAAAGAAAGAAAGAAATCAGAAACAAAGAAATATTAATATTACAATTATGAAATAAATGTCTGTGTAAAGTTCTGTCTTAGTTGAGCATGTCTATTACCAAAGCTGGCATGTCAAGAAATCTGGGATAGTCCTTGAAGATTTCAGCAAGAGATTTTGAAGGGATTTTGTTGTTATCCATCTTCTTCTGTAACTGAAGGTTTGATTGATTGCAGTCTTTATTGATGATAAATTGTCTGGTCGCATCTTCTTTATCAGAGACAACAACTCACTTGGTACGGTTTCATCTGGACTTGGTGAAGAAGGTTGCGGTGTACAATGATGATGTTTTAAACTGTACACCCATTGGCTCTGTTGAAGCCTCCGTCCGACTGTGTGATGGCCTAGCAAAAAAAAAAAATCCTCCTGACATTAGTAATGTAAAAACAGAACTAATGAAAGTCAAATAAATGAGCAACTTATATACACATTCCTAATAAATTCAGTTTATAATGTAAAAACATTCTTACATTCTCATGTCCCTCATTTTCACCAAAGGGCACCTGAGGGGAACAATGACAGAATCTCTTTTGCTAGTACCAGCTTTTCTATACCAGAAGGATAGCTAAAAAAAGTAAAAAAACAAATACAGTTGCATAAATTGCTTATACACAAACATTGACAAACAAAAAATTGACCAAACAGTGGTACTTCAGAATTGATTGGGATAAATTGTTAAATGTATTTATTTGAAATATTTTTTAAATGTAGAATTTATTTTAATATATAACTTATTTAAATAAATGTAATTTATTTAATTTGCAAATAAATACATCTTACATGAAATAAACAAACCACATACTCACAATCCATGTTTCTCTACAAGGACACTGACAGCAACTTTTTGACAGTCTTCATGTTCTCTCAGGATTGAAGAGGCTTTTCTTCAAGCAGCGTCAGCAAACTAGTTGTGTTGCCAGTCTGAGTTGAATCTGTTAAAGGACACTAAGAAATGCCAAAACATTTTATTTATTTAAATGTTTACGTTTATCTATAGTAATATAAAGGGAGAAATATATTAATGTTTTACCTGTAATGAGTGCACACTTCTTTCTAATGAGTCCGGGGTGTTGCTTGCAATATAATATATTTGAAATTTGCCAAGCTCCTTTACTCCTGCATTTACATCAGTGTCAATGAACTTGAAAATCTGTCAAATTTCAATATTCAATCAAAAGATAGTTGAGACCTGTTTGACTAAGGCTATCAGATCTCCAACATTGCCATCTGTGAATAGTTTTCTCCATATTTCCTTTCTGTCTATGAAGACAGTTGCAAGAACGCGGTGTAATTTGTTCCTCGACTTCCATCTCCTAAGAGAGAAATTCATACAGCACAATGAGAAAACAAACACCTGTAACTGTGTATGACAATAAAAAGTACACTTTTAAATAGTATGCGACTAGTAGGGTACCACAAAATGGCGCGCAAAATTGAGTACATTAAAGATCTTCATATTTTAGCTATTGTTTATGAATTTGCTCACACCTCGGCGCCATTTGGTGTCTGTACAAAGCACCCAACTAACGTTACGACAAGGGATTTATGTTTAAATTCCTGCCGCAGAGCTTCATATAAGGTTATATATTAAATAACCTTATGATAATAACGTAACGTTAAATGCATAAATTATATCTGGTAGCGTTACCTCGAGTGTCAGAGACGCAGAGGCTTTTTAAAGTGACGGCAACTCTTACACCAAAATGCAGTACATATTTAGGGTAAGTCTTTCGCCTTATATGTAACTTATTATTAACAATTCTGCCAAGTGCCAACGCAGCTTTACAAAAGACGCGCCAGATGCGTTAGCTTGCGCGGCTAAAGTTAATGTTACATGACAGAGTTGCCAAGTCCCGTGTATCAGGAGTACGAAACATGAAAACATAATAAAAGTAACAAAAATAACTTCTTGGACAACTAACACAAAACATTCTCACGCAGAGTGGAAGAAATATTTACTATCGTAGACGAATTTTAATGAATTTCACTCACCTGAGGCAGAGAGGTGCGTTATCCGATAGAGCTCTGGGAAAACGTCAGTTGAAAAAGAACGTCACTGCGCATGCGCGTGCAGAAATTCACAGTATAAACCCCGAAATATAGAATTTTTAGCCACATACTCACAAATGCTTATTTTATATTACCATCATGATAAATAAACTACATAAACTCATAACACAGTGCCATTTGACTACAGGCAAAAATGCATTGTATTCCAACATACTGTTTAAATGTGTTTAACACAGTCATTGTGTAAACAGTTAAGCACAATATTAACACACAATGTGTCCGTAGTAACACAAAATGTGTTACGACCTGTTTAACACATACTTTGTGTAAATTTTTAACACATCACTTTTAAGAGTGTGGCTGAATGAGTGCATCATCTAGGTCAGGGGTCACCAATCCTGGTCCTGGAGGGCCGGTGTCCCTGCAGGGTTTAGTTCCATCTTGCCTCAACACACCTGCCTGGATGTTTCAAGTATACCCAGTAAGACCTTGATTAGCTTGTTCAGGGGTGTTTGATTAGGGTTGGAGCTAAAATCTGCTGGACTCCGGCCCTCCAGGAACAACTTTGGTGACCACTGATCTAGGTAATTAAAGGGCGCTTAATATTTTTAGAGTTTTCAGTGTGAACGCACTACTTACAATATTTATACTACAAAATGACGTAGAATATTGCATAAGTTTGCGATTTGGGATGGAGCTACTGTTAAACCCTATCACAATAGTTGGCAGTTTGCATCTTAAAGTCCCCAAGAAATAAAAACTAACCTTATGATTTTGTTGATTTTGACATTGCCAATTTTGTGGTGAGCAATTCATCTTAAAATATTTTTCATGCATATTTCTTTGGTTAAAATGTGAAACTCATAATTACTGATAAATTAATCTATTTTGTTTGTAAAAAGAAATGCTTTTACTATATGTTATAAGATACTTCCTGTTTAGTCACTTCCAGTTAGTCCTGGCTCTGTGTGAAAGCCATGCCAGACATGTGCTCTCACAGACAATCTAAACCATCTGCTTAAAATCATCATAGAGGCAATGGCGTAAGTTTATGTTTTGTACATTAGACATGTTTAGGACAATATGTCAGTGATTATTTTGTAAAAAAATATACAACATTTTCTAAGTTTGTTCGCTGTTGTAATTCCTACTGCAAGCAGAACTGTAGTCTATGTTATGGTAGTTTATGTGCAAATATCTGTCGAAACACAATTTCTGAAAATTGTTGTATTGTTTTATCGAAGTTTTCTCCACAAATGCTAATAAGAAGAGTCATGGTAAATGATCAACCTTACTATGACTCTGTCTTCGTTGACTATGGTTTAACTCGGTGTTTAGTCAGTCACAACATGCTGCACGAGAACACTACTAGATTCATTGAAATCTGAAAATGAACTTCCTGATTGTTTTTTTCATTTAAATTGTCACATATATCTTAGGAATTGGGCCTGGCTAACATATTTAACCACGCAGCTCCAACTGTCAGTTTTAAAAACGAATAGAAATGGTGAGGAGGAGGTGTGTGTTGGGTTATAATAATAACTCTCCAAACCCTTTCCCTCATCTTTCTAAATGAAATGCCTACTTTAATACATCCATTCAGCTCGCAGTAGAAATTCAGTTTCTACAGGAACTTTGTCACAATACAAAAAGCAGCTCCTGTTTCATTGGGACTTTAAAAGCTGGTTCACATACATCTAAATAAAACTAAAAAGAAGAGTCACTGCACATGCTCAGTACTGCAGCAGGAATTTACAGGGGTTTAGACTTAAGACAGTTGAAAGTAAAGTTTGTTTTGAGTGGTTCTGCATTCTTCTTGAGGGTAAGTATCTGATATGTACCTGCTTGTAATGACTGTTGAATTCTGTATATTCGTCAGTATGACATTTATCCTAACGTAAAAATTCATTATTGGTGCATTCTGGGGCAACGCGGTGGCACAGTAGGTAGTGCTGTCACCTCACAGCAAGAAGGTCACTGGTTCGAGCTTCAGCTGGGTCAGTTGGCATTACTGTGTGGAGTTTGCATGTTCTCCTTTCATTCGTGTGGGTTTCCCCTGGGTACTTTGGTTTCCCCCACAAGTCCAAAGACATGCGGTACAGGTGAATTGGGTAAGGTGAATTGTCCGTAGTGTATGTGTGTGAATGAGTGTTTATGGTTGTTTCCCAGCAATGGGTTGTGGCTGGAAGGGCTTCCACTGCATAAAACATATGCTGGATAAAATGGAGGTTCATTCCACTGTGGCGACCCCAGACTAATAATGATACTAAGTTGAAAATGAATAAATTAATGAATGAATAGTGCATTCTGACATAATTAAACGCTATCTACGGCTAACTTTGATGTAAAGTCGCACACGCCAGCAATGCTTTTTTTTCTATTTGTAAGTTAACTCTTTGCTACTGTTTAATACTTTGAACATTTTATAACTAGACATTTTTCACTTTTCAAAGACAGAGTTATAAAATGCCACATAATACCTCCCAGCTTATTAGACACTGCAAACATTTTCAAGTACAATCTGATACAGTCGACCATTTATTTAAAATGTCTTAAAGGGTCACGAAACACCAAAGCACATTTTTTTGAGCTGTTGACAGTCATATATGTGTCCCACGCTGCTATAAACACTATTAGGACACATATATATCACTAAAAAGTGAAAATTGGTTGTTTTTTTTTATTTTGAGCAAATTCGTTCTTCCTGTTTAAAACGAATTTTTAAAGCTGCATCACGGCTATTAGATACGTGTGTGTATTTCAGTGTGGAGACTGCATGTCTGTACATGCGTGTGTATCGTGACATCTTTGAGTCTGCAGCATTAATTTATGAGAAAGACTTAGCTCAAACCAATTAGCGTGCTCTATTGTATATGCGGTGCAACTTCATTAATATGTATGACAGCCTTGAGGACTGTTTGTACCTGTACAGTGTTCAGACGGCAGTTGCCAAAACAAGTGGAAGAACAAGAATTTGTAGAAACGGGTCGTCAGTGTTGCGTTTATTAATGTGTTGCAACAAAGATTTTGTTTTCATTTTGCCGATAGGAGAACGCAGCTTGATTCATATGTGAATTACAGTGCATGTGGCAGAAATGCGTTTGTAAGGAACATTTTTTAACTGAGAGCTTTTTGCATATGGAAATGTTGAAATCTGGATTTGCTTCTTGTCTCCTTTTAAAAAAAGACGCGGCTCCAGTTGGTGATGATTGTCCTGTCGCTACAGATTTGTTAAGTGTGTGTGATCAGTGCCCTTTGTTTGTTCCTTCAGATGGCAAAGTTAGTACGTATTGTCAGCAGTACACTAAAAAAAAAATATTCAAACATGATTAATTGGATTAACTCATTTTTTTTCATTAAGTGGTTGTAAACAATTTATTTGGGCTGAATTTAAACAAACAAATTAAGTTGAACATTATTAGATTTAATTTGTTTGTTTAGATTCAACACAAATAAATTGTTTGCAACAGTTCTGCATGCAACACTTTTTTTTCAGTTATTAAAGACTGACCTTAGTTAAAATGATTTAGTTGCTAAGTTTACAGTACGTTAATATCACTGCAAAATTATAGTACAATATTATAGGCTGAAAGATTTGCTGTAAATTCTGCTCTCCGAATGAAAACATGTAAACACCTTAATTAAACTATTCCTTTCGTGTAGGATTTTCGCTGCATTTTGTGACAGAATTTTTGATGATATGTTACCTACCGAGTGCATTGTAAGAATCAGCTCTTTGGTTTAAATCATGTTTAAACTTTGGGGATTCGAATCAAAGATTCGAACATGATTCACATAGAATTATTTAAAGCTTACACTTAACTTAAATATTTGTCCAGCAAATAGAAGGTTTAGTGTAAAGCAATTCTGTATTATATTATTACGTGGCCAACAATAACAATATAAAAACAGTATCTAATTATTTAATGAGCAAGGTAGCAGTATCTGAAGCTGAGCCGTTAACTTATAAAGCACACAAAACACCAACACTGATCTTATAACGAAACAAAAGTTTATTGCTACTCTATAACACAAAGTACTAATCTACGTAAAACAAACAAATGCACATACATACACACACGCACACGCAGTTTAAGGAGAGTTTTGACTGAGTGGATTCAACTACTAGCCTTTGCTAAGTTATTAGCATTGCAACCTGAGAGAAACCATAAAAGCAGAGAATTTCGCTATTCTTTACTACTTAAAGGGTCACGAAACACCAAAACACATTTTTTGAGCTGTTGACAGTCGTACATGTGTCCCACACTGATAAAAACACTATAAGGACACCTATATTTCACTAAAAAGTGTAAATTGGTTGTTTTTGCGTTATTTCAAGCAAATTCGTACTTCCGGTTTGAAACAAATTTTTGAAGCTGCGTCACGGTCATGACATAATAGCGTGTATTCCAGCGTGCAGACTCGGCGTCTGTGCCAGAGTGAGTCTTATTACGTTTTACAGTGTGTTGCATTAATGCATGAGTAAGGCTTGGTTCACACCAATCAGCGCGCTCTATTGTGCAACTTCATTAATATTCATTAGTGTCAACGTGTTTACACCACAGAGACGCCACGTTGTGTTGGCAAAACAAGCGTGAAGTGTTGCTTTTATAGTTTGCTGCCATTAAGTTTCGTTTTCATTTTCTCTCTGTGAGAGCTCATCTGGATCACGTGTGGATTAACAGTGTACGCGACGCTCGACAACAATAACTTACGTGTCTAAGGAGGAACATTGTTTACCTGAGAGCTGTTCTCATCTGCAAACGCTGAAATCCGGATTCGCTTGTAGTCTTCTCTTCATAAAGACGCGGCTCTAGTTGCTGGTGATTGTCCTGTCTCTACAGATTTGGTAAGTGAGCGACCAGTGCTCTTTGTTTATTCAGTTTTTCGTATCGAATTAAGTTAACTATTCCACTGAGTGCAAACATGTTAGCACCGCATTTTGTGACCGGAATAACACACGCGGCTTTCTGACGCTACCTGCCGTGTGCATCTAAGTTTCCGGGAAATGCGGAGGTTT